CCCCCCCCTTGTACATAGGTTCGCCTATGAAACCGAGCATAGCTGGTCCAGTTTAGTTCTTCAATTTTATTAGGTGTGGAACGAGTTTGTCACACTCCTACTGATATACCACTTTCCATGCACCATGTTGTCTGAAATTACATGCTTCCTGGCTCTAATCACCACCTCCAACTAGCAGAAGATAGTCTTCTGTTGGTTCTTTCCCCAGTTTTTTCAAAAAACCTTTTGAAACTTCAGTTTCTGTAACATTGCAAAAGCTTCCAATCCATGAAATTGCCAAGTCGATTTTTCTTCAAATATATTGAAGAAACCTCTATGCTGCAAACAGTGGTTTGGAGAACCATCTTTCAGGATTTTTTATATAGAGTAAGTATTAGCTAGTTTTGCTTGCATGGTGGTGTAGATATTTATACTCAAGAAGTAGCTTAGAATAATGTATGTATGAAAGACTGACCAATTCTAACCTTGCAGCGCCTCTCTTCACAGAGCCCATAGTTTTCCCACCATCTCGTGAACGACTGCCTTCAGGGAATATGTGGACCCACCCACCTCTGTTCAGTTTTGTGATAGCAACATCCATACCCTGCACCAAAAAATAACCAAATGAGCAAGCAATGACAACAAAAAGACATGGGGGCTCCTGCATATTAGTATCGAGATATTGAAACCTTTTAGCCTCCAATAATATCCAAAATTAGAGATGCTTTCTAACTCTTCAGAAGCCATTTTGGAATCCCAAGATTTTAACATTATGAACAAATCAAATATTGAAAATTTCTGCCATTTAGGAGTAATAGCTATGGTTGTATGTATTATAATAAAAAATAATCGTGCCAATTTTATATTTTAGGTTAGCATATTGGTTTCATGAAGTCAAAATGTAGCTTTACTATTAGAATTTGAGGACCTAAAAATAAATATCTACAAGTCATGGTAAAGATTTTCTATAAATAAGACAGCCACCAAAACTCCTAATCAAGCTTGTTTGCTACCAAACTAGAACTTCCAAATTACCTTACCATATATATATATATATATATATATATACACACACGCTAACTTGATCATGCAAACACTGATACAAAGAAATATTTGAAATTGAAGTCACCTAAAAGGTACAAAAAGAAAAGATTTTGATTAACTACTAAAATAGGCCAACCAGCTACCTTATAGGAACCCAAATGAAAGGCGCTCGCTTAGGATTTACACACACAGCCTTATTCTATTATTCTGCCTTTTTTCAAAACAATCGCATGTTCCCTTCCTCCTTTCGGTGGTAGTTCAGAAGGCCACTAAACACCTCTTATTATAAACTGGTCTACCACCTCCAGATTCGTGTTAGACATGAGATGTGATCTGCCTTTGCATTCCTACCTGCCCAAACTCTACCAACAACCCTTGACCCTCTTGCCTCAATGTTTTGTACATCGACTTTAGGGACACTAAAAATCTGCCAACTGATGTATCCCCCTTTCATTTTCACTTGTTCCCCTCCCAACAAAAATTTCATGGTTTGTGTCCTCCAATTCACATGCATGGTGCCCAAAGTGGACAACCATTGCATATCCAATATGCTGTCCGAATTTCAAGTTCCGATAGAAGAAAAGGTTCAAATATCTTCACTCCTTGTATCCACACCTTCACTCCTTTACGCACATTTCCCTTTCATGGCCTTCCCTGCCCCTGGCCAGCATTGTACCATTCTGGTTGGATTTACTTCAATACCTAAGTTTTCTACTAATCACACTCAAATGAATTTATTGGACGCACCAATGTCCGTCAAAACTACAACCTTCTGTTCCCCGACCATTCCTTCCATCTCCATCATTCTAGGCGGTAGAAAATCCAACTACAGAATTCAATGAAATTCCCACATCACTTGGTTTGAATTGGCCAGTTTCGTCTCCTCTTCTTTGAGTCCTTCTTGATCCCCGATGTCAGTACCTTGCAACACCAAAAAGACTTAGTTTTTTTTGCTTACATCGATGTCCCAATGCATACTTCACATCAAACTTATAACAAAACCCTGTTGTCTTTTAAGTTGCAACTCCTTATCGGTTACTCCCTAGAAATCTAGAGTCGTACCTCCGGTATGAGCAGTACTTGTCATTCCCCCATTCTTATCCACCCCCCATTTTCACACGATTTCCATACTAGAGTGAAATGTTTAAATCCTCTTCCCTGATACGGCTTTATTTCTTTCTTCCATCATCATAGCCATCTCCATCACCTATCATTGACGGTAATATGACCTCCGATCGGATCTCCGCTAGCAACCCATTTATGAACTGGTCACAAAGACCTCAAGGACCCATCCAATGGTGCGAGTGCGACCATAGCAACAAATTTCCTTTTACATTATTTGTCTAATGACAAAAAGTGTCCACAGTATCCCTTCAATGTTAGATCTAAGTTGAAAAGCCTCTTGAGTTCCTCCTGCTATTAGTTGCCCACCTCTTTTTGCTCCCCCTCATACCAATGGAGGCATCTCCCTCAAAAGCGATGACTGCTACCTCCAATCGTTCCTCATTGCTCAGTCTATTCAGCTTGTCATACCTTTCAACTCATAATCCATCCATCACAGTCGGACTCGTCAAACACGGCATCTTCAAACGATGTCCTTTTATCGCCAAAAATTATCACTCCTATCGCGTCTTTCCCCTGAACCTTAGCACTTCCTACTACCGCTTTCCTCCTGATTCTTGGTCGATTCTTCATGGAATAGTAAGAGTGTACCCAACCGCTAGAAAATCATCGCAAAATTCTACTCCAAATTCACCAATTCTGCTTAAAACTGTTCCAGGCTGCCTTCCATTTCGCCCATTGTGTATTCTCGCGTTGATAGCAATTTGTTGAGCTTTACTCAACGAAATGAAATTCAAAGTGAAAACTATAATGATTTCACTGTACAACTACTTTCTCCAACGTTCGAGAGGTCAAGAGCTCTCCTAACAAATCTAGTATTACAACTTACAAGCATGCCCAACCATGGCACTCTACATCTTCTTTATACCCGACGACTACTACTAACCGACTCTAACTACTTCCCTACCTCAACTATAATTGAAAAGACTGAAAACCCCCAACCCTTATTCCTTCTAGATAAGGTAATATGTATTGTGGTCCAACAAACTACTACCCTGACACAAGTCTCCAAGAACTCCTATCAAAGCTCATGTCCTTGGAAATGTTTAAAACCACCATGTCCAACCTCAGCTGCTCATCCCACGTCCTCATCGGCATGCCTCTCCTCACCCCCAATGACTCATGTTTTCTACCCTCCTCAGGGGTGCCATCCATCTCCGACAAAATGTGTCAAAACCATTGCAATCTCCCTTGTATCATTTTATCGGTGATAGACGTAACTCTCAACTCTACCCACCAGACGTTGTTTGGAACCTGTCTAACATGGTTTGATCGGAAGTCCATCTGAACATCATTTTCCCTTCAGTTCTAGTGGGACCATCTTGTCACACAACACTCTAATAGTATCCTCCACTTTAACCACCGTCTTTATGCAGTGTGTACATAATCTTGACCTCTCCTCCTTCTGAATCAAGCAGGGGCTGATTGGGCTGATTTACCTTGATCTGGTAGTGTTGCCCCGATAAAAAAAAATCGATTTAAATGTGGAAAAACTTTTTAGCTCAAATTCCTACAATGCCCCTATCAATTAAACTCTAATACCCCCGACTCTCAAAGCCCCAACCCAACTGAAGTCATTATTTTTTTTATTTGTTTGCTATAATGCTATTGATTTTATACACCATTACTTTTGTCTTTTTTTCCAACATCCTTTTGCATTTTATTATTTTATTGATCTATATTTATTGTTATTTGTCCATTGTTAGTTTTCTATATGTTAATTGTTATTTGATTTAGGGTTCTTGAGTTAGTCATCTAATTTGAGTTTGTTATTTTGATTTATTGGTTTGTCTTCTATTTTTGATTTCTCGGCCTTTTTCTAAATGATTTCTTTCTAATTAGATATAATTTATTGGCTCTTGTCTTCTAATTTCATGCTACTGACTACTAATTTATATGTTTATCAACTATTAAGCATTTTTTATATATCTTTCAATAGCTAGGTTTGTTACAAATTGGATTGATGTCAAATGCCAACATGTTCTATTACAAATTGGTTTAGTGTCAAATGCCAACATGTTCTATCACAAATTGGTTTAATGTTAAATGCCAACATGTTCTATTACAAATTTGTTTAGTGGGTTGTTCCTCTAACCATTTGGTCCATTATGAGTCGGTCGAATCTTGTATTAATGTGTAATGTGTTCATTTGCTTTCAGTTTAGAAAGTAATAGTATAATATGCTCGGTTCAACCGAAATAGTAAAAAAGAATAACCAAAAACCAAACCGAATAATTATCTTTATTCGGTTAACTAAACCATGTAAATCAAAAACTGATTAACCTGAAACCGCCTTGGTTCGGAGGAATTATGTTGTTTCAAAATTCATTGACACCCCTAAGTGTGCCCCCAATCATAAAAGTGTCTAGATCCGTCACTGGAATCAGGGATCCTAGATACATGAAGCTATCCCTTTAGGGTATCCTTTGATCCCCAATTTGGACTTTTACCCCCTCGTCAATACGTTTCATGCTAAAGTTGCACTATACATATTCAGTTTTGGAGCGGTTAATGTGCATGCTTGTGTTTCAAATGTCGTTCTCTATTGCTCCATCCTCTCATTCATCCCGGTCTTCGACTCCAACATTGTTTTAGTGAATAGCATACACCATGGGCCCTCACGTAGATCCCTCGCAAGATATCATCCAAAATCACAGTAAAAGGGAATGAGTTTAGCATTGATTCCCGATTTAGCCATATCTCCATCCGGAAGTAGACTCCTGTCGCGCACCGCACCGAAGTTCTAACACAAGTCCTCGAGTTTGAGTTTACCCACTACACAGAATTTCTAGCACAAGTCCTCAAGTTTGCGTATATATCTTGTATTATTGCCCAAACATATCTCCATGGTAACCTCTCCCTACTAGGCTCTTCCTAATCAAGACATGTGGTACGCTATCACATGCCTTCTCCATGTTTATGAGCAAGAAGTGTAGGTCCTTATAAGCTCTCTATACTTCTCCATGAAGCGTCTGAGGTGGAATGCCTTGATCGTCGACCTTGAAGACATGAAGCCAAATTGGTTACCCATCACCTCTATCTCATGTCGCATCCTAGCCTCAATCATTGTCACACAATATATGCACAGTATGGTTGACAAATTATTCAGCTTTCAAAGTCTTTCTCACCTTTCTTTGTTTCAAACAAGTTTAGTTTCACCGGTTTAACCAAGGAACTTAGGGTTTAATATCTAGCTATTTCCCTTAGCCACATCAACATAAAATAGCTACCTTGAACAAGAAGTAATAGATAAGTGTGAAACAAAAAAGATCTCAAGGATTAGAGCATACGACTGATACGAGTTTAGCAAAAGGGACTACCATTACAAGTTGGCATTTAAAGCAAACATCACATGCTAACTAGATGATACCACAATATTAATTTCAACAAGACGGAACAAGTTTCACAAAGCACATCTTTCGATTTTCATTACTTAAACCCACTTGATTTTATAATGAAAAAATTAACAAATAGCAAAAGACGATATGATGCTAACAAAATAACCAACAGTTCAAACAACAAAATTATACAATCATTGCACAAGGCAAAACAGGTACCTTTTGATAAATTCCTTCACCGCGAGAAACAGGAAGAACTTTAACACACTTAAAGAATGCAGAAGTCACTGGATTACGAAAACATCGATCACTAGCACACAGTGTCCATCTCAAGTTACGGGCATGCAGAAGAACACTTGAAGGAAGGAGTGCAGCAATAACTAGTGGATCATCCATGGAGGCAATATGATTGCTAACCTGCATTTATTGAGAAAAAAGTCTCAAGGCCTAATGCAAGGAATAACTCAAGGATTTGTAATCTCTAAAGGAAATGTAGATGAAAAAGCAAGTGTTCAAGATATAGCACAACATTCATCCTTCACGTACTGTGATAAGTGGTGTCTTCTCTGGTCTATTAAATGCTTGCTGCAATTTTTCACCTCCATATATCTGCAATAACAAATCAAGAGCTACTTCCAACATTTTCTACAAAATTTGTAAAAATACATGTAAATTAGCATATTTGAGATTAATTACCTGCACATGATTTAGGCCATGCATGAAAACATGGCAAACATTTCCAATAATAGGAACAGCTACAGCTTGAAGCATTTGGGTGAGAACTGAATCCTCAGGTGTATCAAAGCCGTTGATAACTACATAGTCAGATTATGTATCAAATTGCAGTTGCTCTATATTTTAGAAACCGTCAGCTTAAAATCTCTCTTAGATACTTGTATCGACAATATGGTAGAAGTAATCCTAGATCCAGAATCAACACTAGTAATCCAAGTGACGATGTATTAGACAATTAAGTGTGATATATATATAATTATATTAGAGGGTCTAGAGTGTAAATGTATCTCTTATATATATCCCTGATTGTAATCGATATATACATACATAATTACCAAG